AAGCTGAGAATGTTTCGGAGTGTTCTATGGTCTGCTGGGGTAATAATATAGTGTAAAGCGCATAGCGCCTGCTGTTGAGCGGGGATATGCGCTATACAAATGCTATCTATTATTATTATTTTAAAAAATATTATTTTCAGTATTCTCATAGTAACTCAATGATTTTCTGATGCATGCTCTAAGGTCATATGAATACTTATAACAAGATGACTAAGATGGAAGAATGTTGATGGGTGACTCTAGAAATGACGTTCTGTATATTTCTTTGTTACAGATCAGAAGTCTACGTCTTTTACTTTTGACTGATATTTTTATTTGAGGGAACAAGCGATGCTTTTTGTCCAAAGAGATTAATTAATAAAATGGAATTAACTTTTTTAGTGCAAGCTGTAATGTGCAATTCATCCAAGTAGTGGAATGTAGATGTTACAATGTTGCATACTTTTCGTATTAATCGATTAAATTTTTTCTCATCTTGTTGTGTTGTGTTCCCGGCCCATGCTGTTATACAGAAACTGATCATACTGATATGGTTCCCACGATTCACCTTGACAACTTCCGTTTTCGTATGTCCCAACAATCCCCCCATCCCCCCCCCCTTTCTCAACCTCCTCTCAACCCATCCCCTACCTCCGCATCACCCCCTTCCCACCACCACTCAGGCACTTTTTCTCCTCTTTCACATTCAACAACCACTACCCTTATCCTCGTTTTTGCAATTACGAAATTCATTTGCTATGTACTCAATGATTTGTTGTTTGTTTTAATGGAAACGTTTTCTTTGGTATGATAATCATCACTCTTTTCCTTCCTTCCAGGTGGCTGCTGTAAGTACTTTATTTAATTAAACGAAGGGTATGGCATAAAATGAAGAAAAATGCGTTGAAAGATGGGTGGATAAATACATGAAAGTCAGAAAAAAGACCGAGATATTAATGTGCCAAACTATAATTCTTTAAATGAAGGTACTGATGAATGGACTTGATAATGAAGCTGACACGTCTATTTTATCTACATTCTTCGATTTAAAAAAATTGGTAACACTTTTGCAAGCGTAAATAGTTGATGATATCTTTTTAAAAAAAATTTCTGCACACCCATTTAGGACAGTGCTGGGGATCTACTCCCTAACTGTATCTTTAACTTTAAAAAAACCCCACGTATAACAGGAAGAAATCGACTGTAGACTTATTTCTGTTTCGTTTAGCTTTCATATTCCAGTTGGTGCCATACTATTATACAATGTGTAGCTTTGACCGAGCTAAGGTGTAAAGATCAATGCACCACTCAGGTCTTCTTTTGATGAAGTCTTAAACTCTTTATAAATACGCCACCACACTCGAGTCTGTCAGTCAGTCTGACGCTGTGAATGAGACCATGGTCATAATATGATGATTTGAAGGATCCTGGCTTTATCCTATGGTAAACATTGCAGTGTACCATTTTGCTTTCCCTTTTAAGAGGCTTAATATCTGCGCCTTTGTTTTTCAAACTATTTAACAACACCTGTGAGGGTCAAATCTAGCGCACCGGATGAAATTATCATCACATAGTCCGGTCATCATCATTTATTCACACGGGACTTTTTGTGAGAGTTCAAGTTGTCTCCTGATCTCAGTTCAGTTTTATAGTCGTTGAACACTTTGGCAAACCTCCGAAATGGCTTACAAGTCTTTAAAAACAGGCTTTAAAAAACCCTTGAAATATGATCCTCCCCAATACAACGATAAAAACAATTTGCCTTAATTTCTATCAAGGCATATTTTGTGAACAAGGCTATTTCTTTTTGTGTGCTAGGTTTCCACCAATCTTCCTATAGCCGAATCTTCCCTGCAATTAGTGCAGGGTGGTAGATTATGAGGACGACAGGATAATCTCTGTAAGGTCTAATCCGTGACTGCTTAAATTGATTACCCGTGCTGTGCAGTATTATGTACTGGTGAGCTGATCAGTGGTCAAGATTAACAGGACGGTGGTCATTCGCACCGGCTCGTACCACAGGTCGAAGGTGTGTATCTTGGCAGAGTTGTGCTTGTAAACCGGTCTGGATACACTACTGCCAGGAAGAAACCTTGGCTGTGTTGTATTGACGTAAGTTTACGTGATTTAGATGGATGGTTATTTTGTAGGTTTTGTGGTGTAAGAAATGTATGCGTCTCTTTGGTGTGGACCCCAGAGACCCAAAGGGACATATTATTTAATATGCAAAACAGCAAAACAGTATCAGATACTGACCAAATGCTATCTTTCATAATATTATTCTATTTTAAAAGTTTTACCATCTTTCATAGAATTACAAATTATTTTACAAATCAGATTACTCGTCACCAGAGTCTGAGGTGTAGCGGTTAGACGCATGTCTTCTCACACAGAAGACTTGAGTTCGATTTCGGCCTAGGAATAATTTTTTAATCAAACATTTTTGTCTTTCTGCTGGGACCCTACATCCCTTTCAGCCCGGCTTGGCCCTGACAGGCAGGGTCAAAACCCGCCTCCCTAATATCTTTTTAAAAATGTCGATGTGGACGTAAAATTGCCATAATTTATTAATTTTTTTAAAATTGAAAAGATTACTCGTCAAAACAGCTGAATAGTCTTGTGGGATGTGAGACGTTTTTTGGGGGACTGCCAACAGCACTGGGCTCACCATGTCATATCCTTGTTCAACACCTTACACTTCTTTCCAAACATCGCCCAGCCAGTCTATAGAATTCAACAAAGGTCGAAATGTATTCCTGTGCTAATTCGGTATGCTTACGTTTGGTTCTCTTATATCAGTCACCTATACCAAACGGAGAAGGTCTCACCAACACTCAGTAGCATGTTGAACTACCTTGTGGGTGGCTGACCTAGTTCGAATCCCGATCATGATACTCTTCAACCTTTCGTAGTTTTCGAGAGTTGCCAAGGCTCCCCATCCACTCGTCTTGGTCCTGTTGGAGAGATGGGTATTAAATGTGGTGGTTCACGACTTATGAATGGCCATAAAGTATTGAAACACAGTTGAACCCATTCCTTTCAGTACCAACTAAACTGGAACACTTTTAAACTATGCTATTCGACGAAGATGTCTTCATCTTTACTGTGGCACGTGTATTTAAGAGACAATTGTTGGGAAAGTTTCCGAGAAAGTAAAGCTGTTTAAAATTTGATCGATGTGTTTGCTTTCTCTTAGTTGGGAGTCTTGGTTGTTGTATTTCTAAAGTCTCCAATCTTTGTTGTTGTCGTTGCAGTTGTTGCTGTTGTTGTTGTTGTTGTTGTTGTTGTTGTTGTTGTTGTTGTTGTTGTTGTTGTTGTTGTTGTTGTTGTTGTTCTTCTTCTTCTTCTTCTTCTTCTTCTTCTTCTTCTTCTTCTTCTTCTTCTTCTTCTTCTTCTTCTTCTTCTTCTTCTTCTTCTTCTTCTTCTTCTTCTTCTTCTTCTTCTTCTTCTTCTTCTTGTTTTTTGTAGTTGTTGCTGCTACTGCTGTTGTCGTCGTTTCTGTTGTTCCTGTTGCTGTTGGTACTTGTCAGTACTTTTGTATCTGTGCGTTAGTTAAAGTTGATTAGCTGTGATTAGTAGTGTTGATTAGTTGGATGTGTGGGGTGTGTGGGTAGTGTGGCTGGGTTGTAGGCTGGTTGGTTGGTTGGTTGGTTGGTTAGTTGTTGGTTGGTTGGTTGGTTGGTTGGTTGTTTGGTTGGTTGGTTGGTTGGTTGGTTGTTGGTTAGTTGGTTGGTTGGTTGGCAGTGAAGTTGTTTGGTTTATTGGCTGCTTGATTGTTTTTCCTGGTTTTTCGCCTGTCTGGTTGGTTGACTAGTCGGTTAGTCAATTTGTTGAGTGGATGAAGACTTGGTGGTAGGTTTGTTGGGAGTTAACATTCCTCCCTCTCAGCACCTTTCTTTAGCCAACAATCTTATCTGGCACGGCACATTGTCACGGCCACTCCTTCCTCTCACAGCCGCGGAAGAATTTCCATGGTGGGTCTTGGGGCTGGTTGCTGGACTTCTGCTCATTGCCCTTCTCATCATTATACTGTGCTGCTATAAGAAGAAACATGAGGAAAAGAAGAAGAAAAGACTTCTGGACGACGAGGATGGACGTTACGATCCAGACAGGTACGTCTTGTTGTCAGACAGAAAGTGTCTCGAGCTGACTAAGAAAACGAGACATAGAGAATGGAATTATTATTCATGAGTTGTCATTTTTCGTCGTGTCCGAAAGCTTAATTACAACGTTCAAGTTATAAACATACTGTCAGGGTTTATTTAACATTGGTAAAGATGTAATTTTTGTGAAAATAAGTTGAGCATAATTTTATGAGCCCCTGTTTTTTTTATACTTATAAAATATACCCTGAATACTATCATTTGTTTTGTAAGACTAAGCTTAAACCATAGCTGTTACTCATTGAATTTGCCTATCCTTCAGTGCCCACTAATGAGTAGTCAAAAGCTCCAGACTTATGTTTTAACAATAATCAATCAACTTTTGCTTGTTAATTGTTTCTTTTTGTAAGGGGAGGGGGATGTTATGGAAAAGATGGGGATAGATGTCTAACTTCTAGAATACCATAATTTGTACCAACTTTTTTTCACATGTTATAACATGTCGAACAATTGGACGAAAGTATAGTCTAAAATAAAATGTTCAGACTTGAGATAGGATTTTGCATTAACATGGGATTGGATTTCAAAATGATGGGGATCTGTAGGAGTCGCTTTACCTTCTGTATAGGGTTGTAGGTAGATGGCTGCTATACCACCCCTCCCTCCTTTTCAATGACTTGAAAATTAAACATTGGTGATTTGTTGAATACAATCTAACATGCACGATGATTTCTTTTGAATTTGTTCTAATCATGAATGTGACAGGACTGACATTTATTGAGTTGTTTATACTGACTGAAGATATCTCACTGAACCTACTGTTTTCCTGACAACGTATCTTTATGCCTCAATCTCACGTACATGTATTTCACTTTAACTGGTTTAGAGATAATTCTTGATTTGTAAGAATTAAAATCTTTTGTCGGTTTGTTTTCGGAATATGTGTACATAATGACAGCTTGTATACACAACTGCATGAAAAATGTATTAACCTCTCAAATGTTCGTGCAGCTTTAGTTTACTGTCAACAAACAAACAACTTACCAAAATGATTCAATAGAATGTTAAAAATGAAATAGATCGCGAATTTAAATCTATATCTTTTCTAAAAACCTGAAATCGCACCATAACTGTTAATATTACAGAGGGGAATTCAACACAAATCTGGTGCTGACCTAAAACCTAAACCAATCAATACTAATATTGATTTTGATTTCATGGCAGTGGATACATTTAATATTAATATAGTATAACACATGTATTAAATCTCGTCTAACACAAGCACAGTGATTGTCAACATTAATAATGTATGGTGATTTAACACAAAATATGACACTGACATCATACAGAATTAATTGTGTGTCATTAAGTATATCCAAATAATGTGAATAACTTTCTAACAATAATCTTAAGTGGGGGGCTACGAAGGAACGGTAAGGTTAGCGTAGAAACTCGCTTTCGTCTATGTGCCTATCTTTGTTTCTAAAAATTTACCATTAACAAAACTTGTTACAAAAAGAAAAAAAGAATGGGGTCATAACAGACTCATGTTTTGTTACACCAACGCATCATAATAAAGACAGTCTTGGGCACACTGTGGAAGAACCGTACACCATGTGTTGTTGCGTTCGCAATACCTCGCAATCATGTATTTCTAGTTTCAAATATGGAATGTTCTATATTAATATTCTAATTTCGAGTTTTAGGCAATTTCCGAGATCTTTTTTTCGTACAGAAAAGCGCACAGAGCTTAAACTCGTGTGGGATAGAACTCTGCAAAATGCAATATATTATTAGTAGTATTATTACTTCGGCAATCAAAACATAATACGCTTGTTTTGTTTTCACAAGTTTCTTATTTGATATTAAGATAAACATATGAAATTGGTCATTGGTCAAGTGAAATGACGACCGTTTTGGAATTGTCTTCCTCGCGCAATGCTTGCCAACCAGTGCGATGCCACTCGCCGGTAGGTCGTTTGATTATATCTATGATCTATGATATTATTGAATGCCCTACTTGGAAATAATGAAGATGAGGGGGGGGGGGGGGCGAAAATGTTAACCTGTTTAAGGTGGCAAAAGTGGGCGCTGGCCATAAAAGGATAAATGGTTAACAAACATTGACCTTGAATTGCTATTGTTCCATTCAAAATGTTTTCTGCCTGCTTTCCCTTCTTACCGGACGGTACGTGTGAAACCCCCGAGTACGAGGGGGAGGGTGGTGGTTGGTGTGTGTTTTGCAGCCAAGCTTCTTCATGTAGGCGTTTAGTACAGCGAAGAGCCAATGCAATTGACAATTTGATCTCAAGAAAGAGCGCGTGTGTCTCTCTACAGGTGGGATCGCCACGGAAATTTATCTTTTTTAAAATTGTGTCCTAGGACTTAACTATTTTAACTCATTATGTGCCTTTCAACGTTATTATATGGAATTTGTCGCTCTCGTGATAGGACCGCTCTATCCACAAGATGTTATACTCTTTTTCGCTAATGCATTATAAAAATCTTATAATTATGTATCCGTTCCATAATATACTCTGTCAAGGACAGGTCTGAATGCTCCTAAAACATTAGAACTAAAGCTAAACAACCCGTTGACCTCCAGGGTTCTTCGTGATGCAACTGAATAAGATTGTGGCTTCTCCTACGCTCCGCTGGAGTTAACCGGTGCTATCTCAAGGGCGATGACTAACGTTGTTTACACCATAAATTATTATTTTAAGGTTCAAAGAGAGTCAGGAAGATACTCGGTTTCCACTCTGTAAATTCCGGAATTATGCCGGAGAGTGACTGAAGAAATAACCACAACAAACACCATTTTCTATGAATATTTGCGTCCTGCAATTGAACACTCGTTTTAGGATGACAACCTCTTGTCCCTCGCTTTTGATCCTTAAAAGAGACCTCGCCTATAAACGTATGCATTATCCTTTCCAAATCTTTCTTATTCTCCAAGAATTGCTGCATGCTGTTTTCGTGCTCCTTTGCAGAAATTTAAATCGCTGTGCGCTCTTGACAAAAGGTTTTGACTTCAATTTCAATTCCTGCCTTGAGGCAAAGTTGACACAAAATTGTAGAGCAACCAAAGGGGCTCGCTAGTTCCTTGTAAACAGCTCAGTAAGGAGAGACATACAAAAAAAGACTGACCAAGGAATATACCACTCCTGTCAACATATACATAGTGCCGTTTCCAATTTAAAAATTACATAGTATGTGTTTTAAAATTCCTGTCATATGCCGCTTCTGTGAGTTAAAACAACATCAATTATAAATGATCTATGTAAGTTAATAATATACATTATGTAGTAGACAAACGGGATGATGGTAACGATGCTGATGAATATGATGATGATATGATGCCGACAATGACGTAGAGATTTGTGCGAAAGTAAAAAGACAAATTCGCGGGAAGTCCACAGCACAGGTTTTTCATTTACATTAAACCGTCTGTTTAATCGAGAATGAACAAGACCAACTTGCTAAAGCAGAATAAAGACTTCAAACTTTAAACAGGCCTTCAACGGTTTCTCCTGGTCTACCAAAGAAAGCAATGTACACTTATCCTGTCTCGGAAAATGTTATTTATTAACGCGCAAAGGTAGTTAACGTTAGCAAATAGAAAAACAATAAATATTTTGTAAAATATTTTACAGGTTGTATCCTGATGTTTTAAGAATTTCTTGTAGATACGGAAAAAGTAGCTTACTTTAAAAACGTGTGTGAGTTTCATAAAAAAAAATATTTACGTGACCCTACTTCTCTTTAAAAGGGTTCTCTTTTATGGATCCCAATTTCCTTAAACGGCAACAATAACAAACCTGAGGACATAATGTTAGATTACCCAGTCAGTATTCCGCATGCTGTCGAATACATTTTCCAGGTGACAAAATACACACTACAGAACAAATTTTAAAAATCTTGTTATCAAATTCTGACAGGCTTATACAGCTTACCCTAAAATTCAACTCAGCTCTCATGACCGTTAGAGCTAGAAAGTCACAGGGGAAAATGAATACAACTTCTAGCAGTTTGCTTCCATTATGAACTTACGTAAACGTCAGTACTATCGTAAAAAGAATGGGAGAAATGAAAATGTTGAAGGAACTTGAAAGATAAAACAAAACGAACAAAAAACGTTCTCCTAATTTTGGTCTCGACATAAAGACGTATAGGCTTAGGTGGACTGGACAAAGAGGATTTCTTGACACGACATGAAACATGAAATAAAATAAAATATCGTTGATGATGATGGCCCCAGATCCCCCCGGGGAGAGAGACCCCCTTACACAACTATCACCATTATGGGTGGTCGCAGAAAGGGGAAAGATGGCCGCTATCTAGCCGATGGAGAGGATGATGAACCACCCAAGATCAAACGACCTAAATCGGAGGGAAAACACCGTAGATTCGACAGCCGGAAGAGGGTATGGGTCATCGACAAGGAAGGGAAAGTCAAGAAAATCTGGAAAAAAGACAGAGAATCTCCAGACAGTGGGGTTGAGGTACGTGTTGTACAGAATTTAATTCCCCTAGTAATCACTACCTGGAAAACACTTCTTGACATATTTTTGCGTTTCTTTCTTCTTTCGTTTCTCACTTTATCATTTTGCAAACCTTACAACAAAACAGTTCTTAAATACCCATCATTCTATATTTACTGGCACAGCGAGCTTTGGATCTAATATTAAAGTGTGAATGTTTTCAGTAATACCATTTTAATCTTTTTTACATTTATTCATTTGGCATAGATTTAATATATTTCCATTATCCAGTTTGAACATTATTTTTTTCCTTTTAAGACACCAATATATTTACTTACATTTTTAGGGGGGGGGGGTGGTTCTTGAGGCTGTGATGTAAAAACGCTTCTGAATCTTTAAAAATTCTTTAAGATTTAAGCTACTTCCTTGAGCAGACATGCTGTTATGTACAACGTCTAAGTACAATGTACATGTACATGTATTTCTTTTCTGTTTGACCCCCAGGAAGATCAGGTGGACGGAGGCAGCGCTGGTCAGTCTCCGGGGAGCAAGGTAAAACTAAAATATAGAACAAAGGTACTTGTGATAAGGATATAGCTACACATTCAGATATGTCGTTCATATTATATAAATAGCTGTAACAGTCTGAAAAACTTACCCCGAACTCGTTATTTTTTCTTTGTGTTTTTATAATTGAAAGGTGCGAGGGTTAAACATGGGATGTCACAGCCCGACTCATTTTGAATTGTGGCATAGTGTGTTGAAAACTGTTTACGCATTTTCTTACCCATATGTGTGTCCACTGCTAAAACCTGGTGATTCACTCAAAATCAGGTTTGAAAAATAAGTTACTCTTTGGACAAACATGGGTAGGCAAGCATTTTATGTTTTTTCTCAAAATGCTAAAAAAAGAAAGAAATTCTTTGTCTCCCTTGTATCATTCGAATATCTCATTTGCCTTTGATACGGTTTATAACTTTTAGCCTTGCGAAACCCTCTGCCTCATACGCTAAAAGAATTGTCTTCAATTGGTCATGAACACTTAAATATCATCGCGGTGGTGGCTAAATAATCAGAGAGGATAAAAAGAATAAAGGGATATAAACTGTAAACTTGCTCCATTTTACAATCATGGCGAAAATATACCGTTTAATGCACTTTGGGGGAAGGTTCTAAACATGCTTTTTTTTCTATTGCATTGCACACACACACACACACACATATATATATATATATATATATATATATATATATATATATATATATATATATATATATATATATATATGTGTGTGTGTGTGCGTGTGTGTGTGTGTGTGTGTGTGTGTGTGTGTGTGTGTGTGTGTGTGTGTGTGTGTGTGTGTGTGTGTGTGTGAGTGAGTGAGTGTGTGTGTGTGTGTGTGTGTGTGTGTGTGTGTGTGTGTGTGTGTGTGTGTGAGTGAGTGTGTGAGTGAGTGTGTGTGTGTGTGTGTGTGTGTGTGTGTGTGTGTGTGTGTGTGTTTGGGTGTGTGTGTGTGTGTGTGTGTGTGTATTTGTGTGTGTGCGAATATGTTGTCTATCTTTCTATCTACCTCTCTATCTATCTGTCTCTATCTATCTATCTATCTATCTATCTATCTATCTATCTATCTATCTATCTATCTATCTATCTATCTATCTATCTATCTATCTATCTATCTGTCTATCTATCTATCCATCTATCTATCTATCTGTCTATCTATCTATCTATCTATCTATCTATCTATCTATCTATCTATCTATCTATCTACCCCCTAGGATGGGGAGAATGAAGACGATGATTTCTCCAAGAGACACGGCAGGAAGGAGTTGAAGAGCGCCAAAGAGATCGAGGAAAAGGGAGACAGGAACAAGAACAGCGCCAAACTCGGCAAAAAGATCAAAGGAATGGTCAGCTCTCGGAAGTCTGCTCGTTACCGCTCGGCCAAGTCCGCCAGGAAGTCTGGCCGAAAGAGGAAGTCGGCTGTCAAGAAAGGTGAGCGTCCCCATCTCTGTTTAAGTTGTATTTACGCCTTGAGTTTTTAGCGTTTAAAATAAATGACATTACAGTCAAATATGTCAGAAAGCATGCCAGAGTCTATATTATAGACCAATTCAAACTGTCATACACAAATGATAAACACGAATTTGTGTATTTCATAGTGTGCATGTTCTAATTTGTTTTTGTTTTGTTTTGTTTTTAGATTTTGTTGTGGTTGTTCTGTTTTGTGTTTTGGTTGGTTTTCTTTCTTCTTTTGTTTTTTCAGTCTCAGATTTTTAAAAATAGAACTGAATAATTTTTATGAACAACAGAGATATGATTCTTTTTCATAAGTGGTCTAAAACGTCTTCAAGCGTCGTTAAAGGACCAGAGCATGCGTAACGGAAACGTCACAATGGTCAGTGGCTCTAGACGCACGCTCAGTTGTTTTAGAAACACTGTGCAAAAATTGAAATCAAAATCACAAGACAGGAATTCTTAAAATCTTTTGTGAGACAGTTTAATGGGACTCACCATCTTTTTTTATTGGAAATGAGAAAGCGATTTTTAAAGCAAAAGCCAAAACAAACACAAAAAACGGAAATAACGGGACATTAATAAAGTACCCCTTAACACTGTGCTTTGTAATTTTTGTTTTAAATTAACACTGTGCTTTGTAATTTTTGTTTTAAATTGGAGGCAGAGTATTTTTGGCAGCTGCTGCCTCGTTGTGGAATTCCCTCCCACTCTATTTAAAAGTTGCGCTTACTTTGACCACATTTTAAACTCGTCTTAAAACACATTTATTTGAACCTTATTTTAATAACAAGTTTTAATACTTCTTTCAAAAATTTTTTTGACCAGCAGCCAAGTTTGTTTTTTTTTTTTGGGGGGGGGGGGGGGGCTGGGTTTTTTGTGTATTTGTTCTTGTGTAAGATTATGGGTGCATATTAGGTACTTAAAAAGATTGTTCTACATTGAATGGGCCAGTATGCATGAAACGTGATATTCTGTTGTAGTTTTAGTAGAGTTTTTACGGCGCTCGCAACTACATAAGGTCATATGATGAGCGCCAAGGGGTAGATGTCAACAGAGAAGTTCCTAAAGGGAATCAGGCTTACTCTGCTCACCTCTCTAGCTTCAACAACACCAAGCCTTCTTCGACTATCAAAGCACCCCGAAAATAGCGAGTCAGAAGAGTGTGACAAACATACAAAAGAAGTAGAGGGAAAATGACGGTAGTAAGGATTAGGAAAGAAAAACTAGCAGTTCCCTGTTGCAGTTCAGCCCCAGTTTATGAGCATGACATTGATGAATTAGCCCATTTGCAATTCTACAGTGCATAAGAACATGTCAATGCCCAGCCTTTGGGGAATGGCCTGAAGACACTTCGCTCTGTAGCTTTGCCCCGTGGGGGTGATATTCTGTCAGCTCTTGATTTTTATTTAAATTGTACAGCTCATGGAGTCACCATTGAGAGAGCGCTAAATAAGTGATTATTAGTATTATTATTATTCTACTTCTTCGTATTATTATTATCATTCCTATATTATAGTAGTAGTAGTAGTAGTAGTAGTAGTAGTAGTAGTAGTAGTAGTAGTAGTATTTTTATTGTTGTTATTGCTATTTTCTTATATCATTATTATAATTGTAATTATTATTATTATTATTATTATTATTATTATTATTATTATTATTATCACTGTCATTATTATTATTATTAATATGATACTAAATGTAGCTACATCGATAAAATGATGAACGATTTTACGAAATATTGTTTCGATTCTTTACGCCCATTCGAACCTTAATAATCATTTCATTAAGAGAGGAACATGAGTTTAGTGCTGTTTTAGCCTATTTCTCACGTGTCTTTCAATTTATTTTTCCTTCTCGTCTTAAACATAATGTAGCTGTGAATTTCCCCCTGAAATGTTCCTATGTTTCATATAATTATTTTTCACAATGTGTCTCTTGTGTCTTCTGTGCAGAGCCTGAGGACGATGGTGAGAGGAGCTGGGGAAGCAGCGACGGCGAGTACGAGAAAGTGGACATCGACACAGGCAGAGAGGTCGACGATAACAAAGTCAATGAAAAACTTGAAGGCGGAGGAGAGGGGACAGCGACTGCTGCAACTGTCACAGTTGTCTCTGAGACTGACGGGAAAGGCGGGAAAGGGAAAGTGGTTGGAAAGGGGAAAGGCAAAGGGAAGCAAACCAAGGGTAAAAAAGCGGAGGAGGCGAAGGAAGCGAAATACGAAGTGAAGGATGACGTGAAGAAGGAAGAGGTCGGTAAAGTCACTAAGGAGGTTACTATGGACGCTACCGACCCTAAGGTTATCGCGGCCACGTCAGATGGCGACACACAGCCCAAGGTGGACAGTAAGAAACAAGCCAAGGAACTTGAATTAGAAAAGAAGAAAGAAGAAAAGAGACTACAAGAGGAAAAGAAAAAGGAAGAGAAGGCGAAGAAGCTTGAAGAGAAGAAGAGGCTTGAGGAAGAAAGGAAAGAACAACAACTAAAGAAACAGGAAGAGCAGAAAAAACTAGCAGAAGAAAGGCAACAAGAGATGCAAAAGAAACAAGAGGAAAAGAAAAGGCAACAAGAAGAGAAACGACAGGAGATGTTGAAAAAACAAGAGGAGCAGAAGAGGCTCGCAGAAGAGAAAAAGCAGGAAATGTTGCAAAAGCAGGAAGAGCAGAAGAAGTTGGCAGAAGAGAAACGGCAGGAGACGCTGAAGAATCAAGAACAACAACAGACGGAGTCAGAACAGAAGAAGGAAAATGAGAAGAAGGAGCAAGAAGAGCAAACAAAGGAAGATGGGAAGAAGGGAAAAGATGATGATAACATGGAACAGAAGGAGGAAAAGAAATCTGAGGAAGAAAAACCCAAGCAAGGAGAAGCAAAAGACGATGGCAAGAAAGGTCCTAGTAAAAGCAAAGACGGGAAAGGCAAAAAGGAGGTCACGAAGAGAATTGATGACGGTCGGAAAGCTATTACAGGAGCTGCTGTTATCGTGGTGGGACCCAAGGGGAAAGATGTGAAAGGCAAAGGCAAAGAAGATAAAACGACCGCCGCCAAGACTGAGAAAGAACCAGAGAAGAAAACAAAGAAATCACCGGATGACAAGAAAAAGGAGGAGGATAAATCTGGAGCTAGAGGAGGAGACGAGGAAACTGAAGATGCTGCCGGAGAGGTTATGGCAACGGCGGCAATAGCAGGGGCCGTGGCAGACGAGAAAGACGCAAAGACGAAAAAAGAGGAGAAAGCAAAGAAACCTCAAGTTAAAGAAAAGGAGAAAGTTTCAGAAAAGACGACCCCTCAAGAAAAAGACAAGGAAAAGAAAGCTGTGGAAGAGAAGAAAACCCAAGAGAAAGGAAAAATACAAGAGAAGAAAGATGCTAAAGGTGCTACTAAAGATAAGGCGAACGACAAAGAGAAGGAAGAGGAGAAAAAGACAGAAGAGAAGACGACGGGAAAAGCTGGAAAACCGTCAACTGACGTCGCCCCTCCCCCTCCAGAGCCACCGTCCCGTGAGCCGACTTTATCCGCGAGCATGAAGCCCAGGCGAGAACAGAGCATTGTCTTAGACTTGGATAAGTCAAGAACAGATATGTCTCCAGGAGATCAGCGTCCTCCAACGACGTCACCTGGAGAAGGCGAGAAAGCTCTGGAGGTTGTTGCAGAGTTGGTGGAAACGGCTAGGAGTCTCATGGAAGGGCGAGGGGGCGAGGAGGAAGGAGATGCACCAAAGAAAGATGAGAAAGGAAAGAAGAGTCCAAAGGAGAAACCCGGGGTGACGAAGAAGCCGTCAAAAGATGCCACTGAAAAGGACAAGAAGAAGGAGGCAGGAGAGAAGGGAGCAACGCCGACCGATAAACAGAAGTCGGTGAAAGAGATTAACGTGGAAGAAGCGAGACCAGACTCCAAAACAGACTCCGCTAATGACGACAGCTTCAAAGACGCACCGAAAGACGAGAAGGAAGTGGACGATAGCGATGAAAGCAGCTCAGAGGAAGATGTTGTACAGATGAGGAGGAGGCCCAAACCTCAAGGCTTTATGATGCCAGGTGACAATATGACTTCCACCTTCCAAAAGACTGGGGAAATCATCAACGCCAAACCTGTGAAAGCGAGGCGGCAAAGGAGAACGGCTCGAAAGGTAGAAGGACTTCCCAACAGGACAAACCAAGCCTTCGGCCTTGCACAGCAGCCAAAAGCCGGCCAAAAACCTCAAGACACGACTAAGGGAGCACCCATCGAGGTGAAGCCTAAATCAGTTAAAGATCTCCCTGCCGTGAAATCTCACCAGCCGATGACCATCAAAGACTTGACCAAGAAGACGCCTCAGGAGAAGGCGGAGATTAGGTCTCGAGGCCGCACGCCGGTCAGAGGTGCCAGTGTGGAGGAGGCCAGATCTGACTCGTCCATGACACCGCGGGCAAAGTCTATGAGCCCCAGCAATTCGAAACAAGTGGATGGACGAAGGTGAGGGGCGCCTTTCTTTGTCTCGTTTCGTCTTTCTCTGTCTCTGTTTCTGTTCCAGCGTTTGTCTCTCCCTCTTGTGTGTGTGTGTGTGTGTGTGTGTGTGTGTGTGTGTGTGTGTGTGTGTGTATGTGTGTGTGTATACCTGTATAATATGTTTGTGTGGATTTTTGTGTTTGTGTGAGTGTGTAAGTGTGTATGTGTAGGTGTGACTTTTGGTATAGAATAATACATTTTTGAATATGGATCGCCGCTAAATGTACAGTAAATGTCAAAAGTGTCTGTGTTCATCTAAGAGCTGACCAATATTTTGTACAGGTTAGGAAAGGTCTGTGGCGATGCCTGACAAAAAGTACCGATTTACGTAAAATTAAAATGAGCCAAAGGCGTAGACATCTGACAAAATGATATACAACAAAATAATGTTTCAGAATATTAGAGTTCCTTTATTTTACGTTCATATCGCAAGATTGTTGGTTATTCTTATTATATTGTTTCAAGCACCTGATGTCTGATGACCAATGTCTGTGGTTTAAATGTCTAGTTTCCCGCCATTTCTAACAGATAGTGAGAGTTCGATCCTAGAGTTGATAGATTTTTTTGCGGGTGTCATTGTCTGACATCTGGGACGTGACGTTGTATCAATCTAAGCCCAGGCTGTCCCTGACAAGCTGGGTCGAAGGAGCAAGGCTCCTTATTGCTCTACATCGTGTCAGTGGGAGCCTAAACTACTTACATGTACACTCACATTTCCTTGCAAACACCTCTCCCCCTCCCCTTTTTTATTTCACGTCTCCCTCAAGCTGGTTAGTTAAATGTTATAATAGACATGTATAATATAAAAAAGTTGTAGTATTATTTCATATCATTTTGTCTGTAATGCTCTTTTAAAATTCAGTTGCTACTAGAAGGTAACTGAACCTTTCCTACATATCGTCGTGCTGTTCAAATGTGCAAAGCACATTTTTTCCCTCTTTTTTAAAATTGCAGTTTCGTAATTTAGGGTATTGGTTTCTGGTCAGCTAAATACTATAAACATTACTCGTGCGTTCCACAATTTGGCTTTATATCCTTTTTTTTTTTTTACAATACAATTTTCTGCCTGTGCTTAGCAGAAGGTAACTGAACGTTTCCGTGACGCCTGACTGTGTTCTGTCACCCGTGCGTTTACGTGACTCAATGAATGCATTCGATGCAGGGGGCTGCGCGCGGGCTGTTTTCTTCGCTACGCTTCACTGAAAGTTTAAAGTGAAGCTTAACACACTGTGTCCCCCTATCACACAATGAAAGGCGCTTTCTGCATAATGTTATTCGTTTTCGGGCCTGAGCTTCAGAATAAATGTGTTTGCATGTTATGTTATTTTTATTCGTGTCGCTGTCAGCTGAGCCGACCAAAGGCAAG